CAAACTTTGAAGGGCTATTTTGATACATGTCTCTCTCATGATTTGATCCCCATTAAGTGAAATAAATATGATCATTTGCTTCCCATTGGATTGATATTCTTGAGTTATTATTATCACCCGTGCCTTAGACAATGGGACAAAATTAAGTCTTCAAAAGGCCCTTTCGTGGCCCAGGGACTAAGGGTTCGAACAATGGTTTCTCCATGTATGTTTGCATGTTAATTTGATGTATTTACAATTATTAAATGGATTCATGATTGGTTAAGTTGAGTATGTTGTGTGAATATTGAGATTGTTTTTTAATCTTGCGGTATGAGCTTTAATGTTATACATTATTGTTTATGCGAATTGAAATTTTATTGAATTATTATGATCAAGTGTATGATGTGTATGAGATATTATGATATATGATGAAGATGAATAATGAAGAATGAAGATGAAATTATCATATAATTTTGATATAATGAGGAATTGTAAGTGCAAGTCATGCAATATGTTGTAGAGATGTACAATGTGAATATTTGAATATTGTAGTCAGTTTAATTAAACTTTTTAGTAAGGGATTTGTTAGGGACCTATTATGATTGAATTTTATTATTCAAATGTGTATAGACCATGTTTGTAGGCTAGAATATATGTATTATGGTTTTGTATTGAGATATTCATGCATTTAAACCCTTGAGTTTTTATACAATGGAATTTTTTTTAAAAAGATTGCATTTCTAGCCTATTGGTCTTATACCACCAACAAAAACTCTATCATTGGGTGGTCACATTACTCTTATAAGATCCTCTAGAGCTAATGTACTTGTGTAACAAATGTCTCTTTTGATTATGCCTACTGCGGTGTCCAATCTCATTGAAAAGATAACGAGAGATTTCCTTTGGGGTTCTATAAAAGAGAGGAAAATATATTAGTTGATTAGTTGAGGAAAAGTATGCACCTTAAAAAGGGATAGAGGATTGGGTCTTCGGAAATTAAAGCTTGTCAATAAGACCTAATGGTGTTGGAGATCTCTTACTGATACTCAGCAGCTTTGGAGGCAGGCTATTGAGAAGAAGTATAACACTGACTATACTACCTTCTTATAGCGGACTGGTAGAAATGAACGTCTTTCTTCTCCTCTCTAGAAATGTATATCCAATTACAAAGGTTTGGTTAAAAGGAACATTGGATAGTGGGTGAGTAAATGTGATTTTGTTCCCTTTTGGCTCCAATGGGAGATACACCTTTGAAAAATTTCCTATCCACAACTCTTTTCTGAAGTTTCTAATTTCTTTGCCAAGCTAAGAGAACCTGCTTAGTTAGAGAGAAATGGTGTGGTGTGGCATGTTAACTACCTTTATAGCAGAGTGCATAGGTTGATAATCTTCTACAGAAGTTAGATAGTGTTCAACTATCTAGTAATGCTGAAGATGATGTTATCTGGGAACATTAGAATGATGGAATATTTATAGTGGAGTTCATGTATAGTTTTCTCTTCTATCTGCATATTGGTCTTGTCCAAATAGCTGTTAAACCTTTAACCAGGACAGGGTTAAACAATTTTGTTTTGCTTTGCTTAAGGGATAACAGACATAGAAGTTCACCGATTCTTTATTTGGAATCATCGAATCAACTCTTTGTAATGGTCCTATATATTTTAATTGCTTTCCAAACTTTTCAGTGGCCTAATCTGATCCTAATCTATTAAAAGTTTTAACCTTGGATCTAAAAACTCAAGGTTTTGATATGGATCCTGGATTTCAAAACTTAGCTTTTATTTATAGAATCTGTTATAAAGTTATGAACACTCTATGTCATGACGCTAGGCAAATGGATACAAGGGTCTGACTATTTTCTTTCAGACGAATATGGATAAATCTAATTTGGTTATACCAAGGTCTGTATCTTGGAAACAGGTTAAATTACCAGAAAGATGGTCCCTTCAGTCTGAAACTCAAACTAAGATTCCAGAAAATAAAGAACCTGAACAAATAATTGAATATCCAGATGGAGAGATAGAAATACAATTTTCTTCATCTAGAAAAACTACGCTGAGTGTTTCCAACGCACTTCCTAAGAATCCACCTAGAACATCAACCTCCTCTATTCCTCAATCTGATTATGAGAAAGCCCGTAATGAGAGAATAGTCCTTGAAAGACTTAGAAATGCTTCAAATCAAGTCCAATATCCAATGTATAAAGTTGACACTCCTAGTTCTTCCCACACTGAACCAGAAGAGCCAACCCTATCTTAATGTGACTTTAAGATTCTTACAATCCAAAATCTAGACAAGTTTGTCACTGATAAATAATGGATTAAAAAATATTTCCTCTCTGACGAAAATAGACAAATAAGGAAATGATTTTTTTAAGAATTTAAAGAAGAATTAAGAGATGTTTTTCATAAAAAGTTTAATAAATTTATGATACATTATAGAAGCAATGTGAAATTCTTCAAATGGCTTAAGTACATCGTAAGAAAAGAAGGAATTAAACTTCCAGAGTTTAAAATAAATGTGGCTCAAAATTCCTTTCAAACCTTTCACACAATCAAAGGTGAAACAATAGAATATATCCATCCCCCCGAAACGAGTTTACAATTAAGAGGAGAAAAATTTCAAATAAAAGCTTCACCTTTTAAGTTGGGGCTTAAAGAATATGAAAATCAAATGGCTAAATTAGCAGGAATACCACACATTATAGAACAGAATAATTATACAAATCTCTTCTTACAAACTATAGGAAAACAAACCATCAGAATTGAAAGATTTCAAATTATTCAAGACATTTCCCAGATATATATATATATATATATCTAATGATCATATGAGACCCTTCCACACCCATGTGTGTAGGATCTCAACGGATCACCATTAAATATGGCACAGATCTCTAGAAAAAGTATCACATGGGTGTGAGACTTGAATTTTTTAGAGATCTGTATTATATTTAATGTAATCATTTGGGGTCTTACACACATGGGTGTTGAAAGGTCTCATAGGATCATTAATAT